TTCTGGTCTTGGAAGAGTCTTGACTAAGCAAAGGTCACGCTTGTTCATGAGCATTTTAATCTTCAAAAGCAAAATCTTATTTCACATCCCCAGTTAAAAATAGTACTTGGATTACACATTTGTGGTTATGAAAGTCATCTTTACAGACCAAATGCTGCTTTTCATCAACATTAGTACAAATATGGAGTAGCTCAACCGAGTTCAATGAACTTACTCTAGATTTATGCCAGGGAGCAGAATTTGACTCTAAGCACTATATTGTACTGAGCATCTTGCCAAAATACCACACAGCAATAATATGGGTGATTCCCATTAGCACTATTAAAAAGTTAGAGTCTAAAATCATATGTATAAATGGAAGAACAGACATTTCTGTTCTTCACCAGATTCTAATCCTCCAGGCTGGAATGTTTTAAAGGAGACAATCAGGTGTCAAACATTCATTGAAATTCAAGGGATGAGAGGTATCCTGCTCTCGGTTTCTTTTAGCACTCCTAGCCCTAATAAGTCAAGAGGACTAATTAACCCCTGCAGGCACATATAAATGCAAATTACAGTCTGGGTGTCCGGGAAGGCTCAAGGGAATTCAATTAACCCCACAAGAGTGACTTGTGATTCTTCAACACTTGTTTCTATGCGAGGCAAACTTTCTGCTGCCAGAACGCTCACATCATTCCACTGATATATCTGGATGGTAAATCAGATCTTACACATTTTGTGAATGGCAGAACCACAAGACAGTCCTTATCAAATGGCCTTCTGTCCCATCAGCTATGCCTGTCTTATATGACACTTTGTCCTCCTCTCCAGTATATGCTCCAACTAGTTCTTCCACACTGCCAATCCACACAAGACGTTCTTGGAAACTAACCCATAAAGCCATTAATCTCTCATCCTTAAAATTCCTTCTCAAGATATAACACTGTTGTGATGCCTACAAGAGATCAGCCAAGAAGACTCAAGGTTTATTGATATTGTTTATTACATTTTTTAAAAATCAAATGATTTGGAAACATCGTTATCTTACATAGCCACATGATCATGCTTACCATTATCTCTTCCTTCCCTCCTATTGTTACATCTTGGTCCACATACTTGTTACATCTTGTTTTGAACTATACTGTAAGCTCTTTGAGCCAGGGAGCATGATTGTATAACATCTAATACAATGGGGCCTGACCATAGCTGTCACAGCAGTACAAGGGATGACAAAAATTAACGTGTAAAGGTGACTAGCCTTTGAAGCTATCTCATCTATTATTTCTCTTTTCACTTAGTGCTCAGTCTTGGCCCCAACAGGCCTCAACAGGACAAAGGTGCAAATTCAAGAAGGCTATTGTTTTTGCTGACTGTGGCTTTCACTCTGAACTATCATTTAAAAATCAAGAAATTTATTCATTATCCGATCTGTTTGTTGGAAGGCTCTCTGAGTGTATATGTACAACGTAGTGTGACCACACACACACACACACACACACACACACACACACACACACACACACACACACACACACCTATTAGTAAGGGGTTTAGGCCCAGTACTGCTGCCGTGACTCAGGCAAAATCCTCTTGCAGTCCTCAAGAGACAAGGACTGAAGAATCTAGCTCTTCACTCCTGTAAAAATGTGTAAAGAATCCTTTAGCCCTTGCACAACCATGCCCTAATTTATTTAAATTGTGCAGGATTAGACCATAATATGGCATGAAAGGTTTAATTTCTACCATTTGGTAAACGTGCTTAGCAAATGCTACTGGATGGATATAAACAAATGATCACGCATATATGCAAACATAAAAAACAAACTAACATGCTCTGCTGTGACATGGGAGAGAAGCCAACATTGTAGTGGCAGGTGAATATCTCTGAATGCAAAGATCTCCTAAAGCTCGGACTGACAATTACAAGAAAATAAATATTATTTCTTCAATCTAATTTCCAAAGAGACACATAGCTAATGTGTTAGCATAGGGAACTTTAAATGACTGAAAACACATGTACTAATTCAAATGCCATTTCCTCTTCTCTTTCCTAATGACTCCCTATCACAAATAATTGCTAAACCAACTCCTCCTAACAGTCTGGTCCAACTTACTGTCTTCTAAACGAGAGCAGAGCTTCTCCCCTCCGATGCTTCAATGAGTGAGAGGATGTAAGTAGATTAGCCATACAGGGTATGTCTACCCAGCATTTTGGATGGCAGAGGCCAGGCTGGCAGACTGTGCTGGGGGCTGATGCCGACAATCTAAAAATAACTATAAAATGGGCACTTTGAAGTCTCTGACTAGCGCTTGGGTTCTGAAGTCTGCAGAGTGGCCTGTGTTGACCGCCCAAGCACCACCCTGAGTTGCACACCAACGCAACCTCTCTACAGCTATTTTTTTAGTGTTCCTGCAAGCCTTGATCTGATTTGAAGCTGTGTTTCTTACATCAGTGCCCTATCCACAGATCTAGAGTCAGATCCTCTTGCCTTGCAAAGTGGAACAGCTTCCATGGGAGCCATTGACAGTCCTCACCTTCAAACACTCAATAGCCTGGTAATTAGGGCTCTCACTGCAGGTATGGCAGAGCAGGGCTTTAATTTATGTCCCCTACCTGCCACGTGAGTGCCCTGACCATTAGGCTATTGGCTATGCCAGGGGCGTACCCTCTCTCATGCACTTTTCCATGAGAAAGGTCTCCATTTCCTCCCATTGCAGAATGGGGAAATGTTTTGATAGTTGAAAAATGTTCATGCAATGGGAAAACCATTTCCTTCCCAGATCTGCTTCTGGGGATGGGAGTAAGAGTCTATGGAGAATCAATGCATTAACTTTAACAAGTAATTCCTCACCACCCAATCCTCCATTCCACACCCCTTCCTGCTCTTTTAGTATTCAGGGCCTGATCCTGCTCAAAATTGAAGTCATGGAGAGTTTTGCTATGGACTTCAAAGGAGCATGGTCTTCCCTTCTGGGAGATCTACTACACAGCAAGTGACAGAATAGGAGACTTTGTAGGATAGATAATGACCATATGCTGTAGTTAGTGTGTTGGCATACATGCCCCATCACCAGTTTCCCATCCCAACTGAAAATCACTAGCAGGATTTGACCCCACTGCCTCTAATTGTATATATGCAGACAGAGCTGTATTCTCAATGCTTTTCAAGTCAAAATCTGTCAATGAAACAATACAATATTTTGGGACTGTTTTACTCACATGCACAAATTATTTCTATTACTGCCAGGACTTTAGGAAATCAGCACAGCCTTTATAACTGTACTGGGCATCAGCTATTCAGGCAGGATTTAATAGAAACCAGAAGGTAGAATAGTTTGCTGGAAAATGTAACACTTAACTGGCTCTGTAATCTTCCTTACAAATAATTTATAGCACATCATGCAACAGAATAATTTGATTACGCTCATGTAAAAATATTTGCTACTTACTTAGAAACTCTGATTCAACCTGCCCCTTAGCATAGTCATCACATTGAACAAAATGTAGTTGTCTCTCTGAGGCTAATATCAATTAGCAATTTTCCTCTGTTGCAGACTTTACATTTGCTTTCCATTATGTGGCAAATCCATACCTGGCTTCAGTATGGTTACACCAGGTCTATATTTGGCCCTGTTTCCACATGCATTTTAGTATTTTCTCACACTTGAACAAGAGCTCTCCTTCTGCCTGGTTCAACGCCTGTGAATCTTCAAACAGCTTTACCTCTCATCTGGAAAGCTCTGTTCCAGCACCAAGAAAAGCAAGCATGCCACTGCAAAAATCCATAACCTTGTGCGCCCCAGCAAATTAGAACTTCGCCCTGCTGGCCCGACTGGTTTGAATGCTCCGAACTGTACCATCAAAACAGACCATGCACATTGCTTAACCAGACAAACCCAGGCTCCAATACTTTTACCGGATCCAGGGAATATGGGCCACAGGTCTCTACATTCTGTTGAGGAAATGGAAACCAAGCGACGTCCTTGCTAAAATACCTGGTCCCTGATACATCCCGGCACACAAGCCCTGGTAACATCCACACATGGACCGGGAGCCACCATGCTATGGCCAATTTTTTTTCACCTAGATCCGCAATATTTTACTCTCTCTAGAGACAAAGTGTAGCTTGAATGAGATAAATCTGTGTCCCGAGCTCTGCTTTGATAGATCTCTGTCCTGGCGGTGCTATTTACCACGCATACTTCAGGATCTGGATCTTAGCAGTGGGATCGGGGCTGGCGCTCTTCTTTCTGGTAGAATTTAAGGCTTTGAGATTTAAAACCCAGCCGCATCTAGGTGCGCACAGGGCTGGATTTTCGGGGTCGCTAATAGTTGCTACATTTTTTCCCCCTTTAAAAATAGGATTTTGCGGAAATAGGATTAAAATGGTCACGACTGAAGTACTCATTGTGCCTCCCACACTGGTCAGAGTGATGTTGGACCAGGATGTATCAGAGTCCAGATTGCTCCAGGGAAGTGCGACTACCGCGAGTGTCTGTTTCGATCGTACAATTTACATCCAGTTTTTCCAACATCTTGCGGGAGCCCCGGGCTGAAACCGGGCCCGGGATGCTGCCTGTAGCAAGGAGGGAACCGCTAGCCTTGCTCTTTACATTTCGATGCTACAAGTTGTGGGTTTGGAGCCACAGCGCGGCAGGATCCAGCCTCTCCCCAGCGTTTCACAATGTCTGCCCAGGAGAGTTAGACGGGGCAGCTCCGAGGGGGACCACGGGAACCTGCTTACAGGATAATAGGGGCAGCGCCCCGTTTGGGAGCAAAGCAGCCTCCAGCTGGGAACAGGGGGAGGCAGCGGGGGCCCTGTGGGGAGAGGAGAAATGCCGTCCGGGTGGGACCCCAGCTCCCGTCCCCCTGCGGGTCAGACTCCCCCAGGCACTGCCCGGGACTTGGAGGTGTCTCTCTGGGGCGCAGAGCCTCGCGCAGCCGGCTGTCCCATGGATCATTTAACTTCGACCGTCCTCCTCCCTTCATCCTTCCCCCCGCAGGGGAACGGGCCACTCACCTGCGAAGAGGAGAGCGGGTGCCAGCAGCCCGCACAGCATGGCCCCTGCGAGCGCCCGGCTGCCCATGGTCCTGCCCGGGAGGTGCGCGCAGGGTGGAGAGCTTTGCCCGAGCCTGCTCGGAGAGAGGACGCGGCTCGAGTTTAACTTCGACCGTCCTCCTCCCTTCATCCTTCCCCCCGCAGGGGAACGGGCCACTCACCTGCGAAGAGGAGAGCGGGTGCCAGCAGCCCGCACAGCATGGCCCCTGCGAGCGCCCGGCTGCCCATGGTCCTGCCCGGGAGGTGCGCGCAGGGTGGAGAGCTTTGCCCGAGCCTGCTCGGAGAGAGGACGCGGCTCGAGGAC